CATTGTTGAATAGGAAATTATAACTAACAGTTATATAATTGTTACTTGGTGTTTGCTGGGATATATATATCCTAAAAAAATCATAAAAATGAAAAGGTCAGGCCATGTTAAAAAGAAGGTACTCAAAAATTTAAACGATCTAATAATAAATTATCACGAAAAGTAACTGATATGTTATTCAAGGTGCCAGTTCAAAGTGAACATACGTAAAGTGTATATTATCTAAATTTAGTAATAATATATTACCATGAAAAGTAACTGTGATATTTTATTCAAGGTGCAAGTTCACATTGAATATACATACATATAAGTAAAACTGATTACAATTTGATTCTAGAAAATAAGTGCGATATGTTATTCTTAGTGCACAAAATATAATAGTCGTTTATAGAGATTTGATTTGAAATTCATACTAGCCCGTACAATGAAAAATAATTGCTCGTAATTCCAGAGTACCAATTTGTTAATGACTCAGAAAAATAACATGGCGGCCTGCTCTCAAAAAACTATGATGTTTCTCGATGTCCATTTAGATATAATGTCGAAGCTCTTACAGAATAATTACTACAACATTTGAAATACGAAAAGTATTACATTAGAAGAAGATTAGATTAGAATAAGGATTCAACGTATTTTTAAAAGCTCTACACACACAACGAAGTGAATATACAAAACTATATACAAATACCTTTTTCTTCTGTGTTTCTGAAGAAAATTGTAAGTCAAATGAAACCTTGCACTTTGAGAACCATGTCACTTACTTTTCAGAGTAAAATTGATAAATTTTTTTTGTATATTTTAATGATATTTATTTCTCACTTGTATCTTGAATAATTAATATGTAATTTTTTATTGTATATTACGACAAATAATCAGTAAACTTTTTAAGCGTATAGCTTTATTGTAGTTGACCTGAGAACTGTACATTTATAAATTTTACTTAATATACACCCGTTTCGAGCAACAAGGCAAAGTTTTCTGATCAATAACTTACTCCCTGAAAATACGGTATAACACAAATCGGAAGTTGATACGAAAATTCGAAATTTTACTAAAGAAAGATTGGAGGTTTTTAATTTATACAATTTTCACAACTCTTATTTCAATTATTTATTCTACCCATCGAAAGTTTTTTGAGAGCAGGCCGCCATGTTATTTTTCTGAGTCATTAACAAATTGGTACTCTGGAATTACGAGCAATTATTTTTCATTGTACGGGCTAGTATGAATTTCAAATCAAATCTCTATAAACGACTATTATATTTTGTGCACTAAGAATAACATATTGCACTTATTTTCTAGAATCAAATTGTAATCAGTTTTACTTATATGTATGTATATTCAATGTGAACTTGCACCTTGAATAAAATATCACAGTTACTTTTCATGGTAATATATTATTACTAAATTTAGATAATACACTTTACGTATGTTCACTTTGAACTGGCACCTTGAATAACATATCAGTTACTTTTCGTGATAATTTATTATTAGATCGTTTAAATTTTTGAGTACCTTCTTTTGAACATGGCCTGACCTTTTCATTTTTATGATTTTTTTAGGATTAATAATTATATAACATATAAATTATATAATATTAATATTAAGATTAATATTAATTAATTTATTTATATAACATATACATTTATGTTATTTATTGTTATATATTATTATTTATATGTTATTTATATGTTATTTATTTACAAGATAAAAGGATTGATTGCCAGTAAAATTTAAAATCAAGGTTAACTAATATTAAAACGACCAACTAGCTAAAGGTGTTAAATTTTATTTATTTGCTACGTTGCGACCACTGTATCGGGTCCTTTTCAGGCTACAATATATAAAAAAGAATACGAATTAGTTGAAAATTAAGACAAAATCGAAACTATGTAGAATAAATTAACAGTAATAAATATATATGTAAATACAAATTATAAATTATAAAATATGAAATAAAGATATACAAATAATCACATAATCTCAATAATAATACAAATATACAATACATGTGAAATAAATATTAATATTCCAATCAAGTAATCTCTAAATAATAACAGTTCGATCATATTAAAATCATTAAATGTACGTAAGATAAAAATATAACGTCATAATCAATTATAAAATAATGTTAATACCTATTAATTGATGATAAAAATCCTAGATTTGATCACGCCAACCAGTGAAAAGATCGTACTTGAATAATAATTCAGTCGTCATTTTACACTATGCACGAACGCCGGTTTAACATAAACTGATAAACAATCGAAAGACTAAGATATACATTGGCATTATAATCAATATAAGTCAAAATAAATACATCTACATATTCAAGGATCTTATAGAACGTTAAGAATCGTATCATAAATAACATTTAAATTCCCTGTATATTTTTGTAAATTTATAGCGTCTTTATGTTTTCTGATAAAAATAATTTTTATAATCTCGTCTTTTTTTAACATTACACTCACTATGTAATATAGACACGGATATCCAATAAAAATCATGATTAAGACTAAAAAGGGATGCCGGATGATGTTTTTACCGATCGAATGCGAGAATATTTAGTTTTTTTTTATATAACTTTTTATTGAGTATACTGATCAATAAATCCTTTTTCACGATTAAAGTACTTATAAAAACGGACCGCGCTAGCTATGTTTGCATATATAAATCATATAAAAATCAAAAATTACAGTTTTGTTATCGGCTTCTTTGTGTCAGTTCGTAATAATACTTATTTAATAAAAAAGTTTTGCAATTTGTCTGTGCATGAAATATAGTATACGCGGTAAGGATAATATGAAGAATTATTAGTAAACGATTAAAAGTGAGATTGCAAGTCTAATAAAAAGTTATATATTAAAGTTATATATTAAAAACATTTTTACGCGTATGTGTTGTATACGTGCATATGTTTAGATATGTGTAGTGCTAACCTATCATGTGTATATGTGTATACGTGCATGTATTTAGATATGTGTAGTGCTAATCTATCGGATTTAGAATCCCTTAAGGGGATGCCGGAGCGTTGGCCGAACTCCGATGGGTTAACGCTCTCATTTGAATGAAACTAAAATTGTCGATAATTACCGACAATTTTAATTCCGCTATTATCGACAGTAATCCATATATGTCAAAAAGTTATTTTAGTGTGTTCAACATATTGAAATCAGACAACATAATATATTTTTACTGTCGAATCATCTCGCACACGCATCTAAGCGTGTCAATGACAGTAAAACATACATACATAATTGTGTCTATCTTTATTACATAGTTTGAACACAATAATATTATATATATATATATATATATATATACATATATATATATATATACATATATATATATATATATATATATATATATACCCAGATAGCCACAGTAATTATTATAACATCATTTTGATGTCAAAATGCATCATTTGCAATTAAAATAATGTGTTGTATGGTTTCGAAAGAGCTATAAAATGGTGCCATTGGTTTAACCTTGGATATTCATTTGAAGATCACGCGAAGGTCACCTCAATTTTTTTAAATGGCACTCCCTATTTTTCCATTGCGTACTTTTTGAGTGCCATTTAAAAAAATTTGGGTCAAAAAATACTTCCTCAAGAAGTTATCGCTCAAAAACCTTTGATAAAGGAATTGAACAAAAAGTAAAAAAAAAATGAAACTTAAAAGGAAGAGCAAAAGATGAAAAGAAAATGAAACTTAACTTAACCGAATTTTGCAATGCTTATTGCTCCAGAATTATCTTTGTATATATTTATGGGATTTTCGATCTCTAATTTAAAGTCACTCAATAAGTCTTTTAATAACTTAAGTGCACTCACAGCTTCGGACAGAGCAACATACTCAGCTGCGATTGAAGACTTTGTTACCGTTGCTTGTTTCTTTGTTTTCCAATGTATCACATTTCCGTGCATTTTTATTACATATCCTGTGGTTGACTTTCTATCTAAATTATCCCCTGCCCAGTCAGCATCAACATAACAATCAAGTATATCTGCATTTATATTTTTTTTAAATTTTAACTTAAGATCTCGAGTTAAGTATAGGTATTTTAATATCCTCATTGTATATTTGAAGTGTGTTTGGTCATAACAGTTCTAAAATCTACTCAAATAATTCACATTGTAATTAATATCTATTCTAGTTTCTGAGCTAATATAAAGAAGTGTTCCAATCAGATTTTTGTACTTTAACTCTAAAGATGCCGACTGCGCTAGTTCACATTTAAGGTTTTGTTCCATTGGCGTCGCGTATAATTTAGCATTTTCAATTTCGTATCTCCTCGCTAACGACTCTATATATGCCTTTTGATCTAAATTCATTTTATTTTTCTTATAATCATAATCAATGTTTATACTTAAATATATTTTAACTTCACCCATATCTTTGATCTGAAATCTTTTCATTAATAGAGCTTTAACACAGTTAAGACTCTCTTTGTTTTTACCACAGATTAATATATTATCTACAAATAAAATTATATACATTTCTTCTCCATTTACATGTCTTGTATATAAACACTAATCAATTTTGCTACGCGTAAATCTTATACTTTGTAAATAGCTATCCAGACATTCGTACCACGCTCTTGGACTTTTCTTTAGATCATATAATGCTTTGTGAAGTTTACATACTCTGTCTGTGCCATTTTCGTAACTTTGGGGTTGTTTTACATAAACTTCTAATACAACTTTACCGTTCAAGAATGCGGTTTCAACATCCATTTGTATTATTGACAAACCATTTTGTGTACAATATGATAATAGTATTTTTAATGTTTGCATTCTGACCACAGGAGAGTATGTATCTTCGACTATTTCCTTTTGTTGAAACCCTCTTACTACTATCCTAGCTTTATATACATTTTCAGTTTTCTTTGTATAAACCTATTTCAGGTCTAATATTTTTTATCTTTTGGTTTATCGACTAGTTGCCAAGTTTTATTTTTTTTAAGCATTCGATTTCTTTGTTCATTGTCATTTTCTAATCTTTGGAATTTTCATCCTTTATTGCTTCATTATAATCTAGAGGACTATCTGCACTCATATAATTTACATAAATACAATATGCATGATTACTATCAGTATACCAATTTGGTTGCTTTCTATTTCGTTGAGACCGTCTTATCTCGTTTTGCTTGTCAAGGTTTTCGTTCACTATCTCTCGTTCATTTGAATTTTCATTTTCAGAATCATTTCTATACTCTTTCTTTTCCTCACAGTTATCGTTATCATCTTTTAAGCCTACAGTTTCTACATCTTCTTCTACAATATCTACATGCCTAGAGATGACTACTTTGTTATTGATCAGGACTCTATAACCCACTTTCTCATAGCCTATCAGTCTACCTAACTCAGCCTTTTTCTCCCACTTGTCTAATTTTTTATTTTTGGGAACCCTTACGAAGATCTTGCTCCCATACAGTCTAAGATTTCTAATGTCAGGCTTTTCTCCCATCATAATTTCATATGGTGTTTTATTTTTTACAGTATTTGCTAATGTTCTGTTTTTCAAATAGACTGCTGCCTTGATTACTTCTGGCCAATACTTTTTTTGTAATTTCGCTTCAGCTAATAAACATCTAGCCGTATCCAATACTGATCGATTATACCTATATATATAGTGGACATGGTTCAATTTGAATCCCCTTTTCGCGTGCTACTCTAAAAATGTGTTTATTTATATACTCAGTACCATTGTCGCACCTTATTTGTTTTACTTTCTTTTCAGTTAAATTTTCTACTGAATTTATGTAATTTACAAAGCATTTATGTACTTGATCTTTAGATTTAACAGTATAAACTTTTGCAATTTTACTAAAATCATCAATAAACGTCAAAAAATACTTTTCTCCCTCATAACCTACTGTGTGATGGGGGCCATTTAAATCAGTGTGGATAATCTCTAATAGATCTTTTGCTTTTTGTCTATTATTTTTGAAAGGAATATTATGCATTTTATTTTGTATACAAGTACCACATCTCAAATAATCAGGTTTTAATTTGTTTGGCATACCATGAACTAAACTATTTCTACATAGAGTATCCAAATAATTGAAGTTTACATGGCCTAACATCCTTTGAAACTTTTCTTTTAAGGTCATGTTTTTGTTTTTGTTTGAAACCATGAATGATTCTTTCTTTTCTATTATACTATTTAATTTGTATAAATCATTAACTTTGTATGCTATACTAATCAGTTTATTTTTCATATTATATATTTTTACTGTGTTTCCTTCAGAAACAATCCTATTTTTATTTGTCACTTTTCCAAAACTTATTAGATTTCTATCCATTTGTTCAATAAAGAATACATTTTCAATTTTATTTCTATCCTATTCCCATATACTTTAGTATTAATAAAAACGCTCCCGACTTTTGTAGCTTTTAGAATTTTACCATTTTCTATTTTGACATCAATCAGTGTTTTTAAACTTTCATGATTCGAATAATAGTTCATGTTATTAACTATGTGATCCGTGCATTCACTATCTAACACCCAGTCAACATTATTTTCGCACACATTTACATCAACACTTTTACTATCTACTTCCGTACAGAATACATCGCGCGTATCATATTCACCAACATTCGAGTACATTGCATTGCGTTGATCTCGTTGGTCGCTCCGTTGTTGTTGATACCAGCTGCCTCTGCCTCGTGTACCTGTGCCACGGCCGCCTCGCCCCCTTGATGGATCGAACCTCCGCTCCCTTGTGCGTCGTTAAACTGCCTGTCATGGTACTGGTGCCATGCGCCACGAGCGCCGCCTCGCGCTGGTTGGTTTGATCTTTTGCTGTTGCATTGGTATTGTAAATGTCCTTCCTTACCACACTTGTAGCACGATTTTCTGTTCTTTTCTGTATGAAATGTCGTTTCGCTTTTCTTCTTTATCTCTAAGTTCGTGCATTTTTATTTTATCCTTTACATAGTCGGCTGTTCTTTCTTCTTTAGCCATCACATCGACAAAGTCTCCAATGTAGCTCAGTGAGCTTGGTAGCGTTCTTAGTAAATAGTTTAACTTCTCTTTCTCTGTGATTTGTGCACCGGCATTTTTTAGTTCAATAATCAATTTTTCAAAATTATTGAAGAACTCGCTGGTCTTACTGTAATCCTTCAATTTTATTTTCTCAAGCTTATTTCTTACGCAGATTTGTAACGCAGTTGACTCTTTCAAGAAGAGCTTAATCTAGTTTTTTGATTATTTCATAAGCCGTTTCTTCATCATTTATGAACTCCATCTGCTTATTCGATAGCACACTGTATATGTAATTTACAGCTTTCAAGTTCTTTTGGTTCCAGTCATCTGCATTTTCATTTTGCTGCCTTACACGTTTACACGTTTCTTCACATTTTTTCATTTTCAAAAATGTTAAAATCCTCTTTTTCCACGTGCTGTAATCTTTTCTATCAAACACCGGAATTTTGATTTCGTCGTTCATTATTTCTTCTTCTTGCGATCCAAAAATTATCTTTTTCAATAATATAACTTCTTTAGCAATTTCCACGAACTTTTCTCTTACAGTACTTAACAATTTTCTTTGTTCAGGTGTACTCTTGAGCGCCTTCCCTTTGTCGACCATGTGTTAACACAATCTTTATTCTTATAAACCACGCTCTGCTACCATGTTAATAATTTCTATTTAAATATATGTATTTTAGGGTTGATTAGATCTTTACAGTCAACACTGGATATATTCAACACAGTATTTATTCTTGATTATTGCGATATTTTATGATTACTGTACTACTCCAATTTCTTTCTATATATACGCACACCTTGCCATCTTTTCTTCCCTTCCTTCCTTTCTCCCCCCCTACACTTTCTTTGCGTGCACGCGCTCGCTCACATCTTCTGTTCGGATTCGCATACCACTCCATACGCATACTCTCACTAACACACGAATATAAATTTACCTCACATTCCAACAGTAACCTCTCGAAAAGACTAAGGCGGATAATTGGCAATCGGCCGCGGACTCGACACGCGTCTCTCCCAAACAATCTACTCGAAAATTAGCGACTTTACAATTAGGGGTCCGTTCGTCTCACCGGTATCTGCGTGTGCGCCGCTGCTTCGGCATCCGAGCTCGGGAACCTCCGCACTCTGCTACGTCCCGCCAGACAGTGACGAGCGAGAGGCTCGCCGGAATTACGCCGATAATAAATTGGGCATTTTCCACCCGCTCCTTATCCTGGCAGGGCCGCCGTTGTCCCGCGGGGCCCCGCAAATGCGCTTGAAGATAATTTCTTTCGCCGTTTCGCTGTTCTCTCGCCTCGAGTTTCGCTGTTCCTTTTCATACTTCTCGTCGGGAAGAAGCCTACGAGCGCGCCTCTTTGCTGTTTCTCCAAAAATCCGCCAGATCGATTGATTGATCAATTACGAATTTTTATAGCAGGATAGGTTGAGGCTCGAGGCAGTGTATCTCCCGCGTCTTTCGTGTTCGGGGCTCTCTTGCGCCTTGCGAGAGAGTGGCCATCCCCGTGTCTTGCCGGAATCTCTGCGGAAGAAGGAGTATTAACGGCGGTATCCAGGTTCTTAAAGTGAGGAGCAATCAAGAAAATCGGTGTGTGAAAAATATTTACCGGGCGTGATCCGGACGTGGTGGCCTTTGCTTGGTTTGTAATCGTCCTCTTTGTCCTCTCATTCTCTTTTTCGCTCTCTGCTTCTCCGGTTGAGACACGTAGCCCTAAACAAAATCGCTCGCCGAAAACGCAAAAATCGCTTAAACAATAAAAAAAAAAAAATAAAAGTAATACGCGGGACAGATGCGCAGGGCGCATCCTCCTACGCGAAAGAAAACGCAAAAATTATTTCTCAGGTGCTCTCTCTCTCTCTCTCTCTCTCTCTCTCTCTCTCTCTCTCTCTTTCTCTCAAGGGTTGGCGAGAGAGCAAAGGTTCCCGAATTTCCCACCTTCCCGGCCGTACCTTTGACCCTTGTGACGGACACAAAAAAATGTCACGTCACAAAATATACCTGTATATACAGGGTGTCTGTCCATAGATGTCTGAGCAAATATCTCGCAATTGGTTGAAGTTACAAGAAAGTTTAATAAGAAGAATTTGCACGGCTCTAAGTCAGCTACAAAGTGCGCGTAATAATTTTTGTTCTACTCGTGGTCCTTTCGAGTTATGCAGATTAACATAGTTTTTTTAAATGGATACCTATAATTTTTTATGCATATTTGTATAGTAGGGATCATTTGCGACAAAAATCATATGTAGTAAAAAATTCCTACTATGCATCGTTTACGAGATAATTGACATTTTATGTATGAAAGTAGTAAGTTGGATTCTAAGTATTTTTGAACGGTTTGAAATGTCAAAGAGAGTTCGGAGAAGAAAACATACAATGTTTGTTTATAGAACATTTATTAACACATAAATTGCTCGAAATTTTGACTATCATGTTCAATAAAATATTCAACGCGTTACGACACAAAATCACTAGAGCTGTTAAAGGCATTACAGCAGAAATGCTGCAGTCAACAATGAGGAATATTATAAAACGCGTTGAATATTTTATTGAACATGATGGTCAAAATTTCGAGCAATTTATGTGTTAATAAATGTTCTATAAACAAACATTGTATGTTTTCTTCTCCGAACTCTCTTTGACATGTCAAACCGTTCAAAAATACTTAGAATCCAACTTACTACTTTCATACATAAAATGTCAATTATCTCGTAAACGATGCATAGTAGGAATTTTTTACTACATATGATTTTTGTCGCAAATGATCTCTACTATACAAATATGCATAAAAAATTATAGGTATCCATTTAAAAAAACTATGTTAATCTGCATAACTCGAAAGGACCACGAGTAGAACAAAAATTATTACGCGCACTTTGTAGCTGACTTAGAGCCGTGCAAATTCTTCTTATTAAACTTTCTTGTAACTTCAACCAATTGCGAGATATTTGCTCAGACATCTATGGACAGACACCCTGTATATATATTGTATATATTTCTTTATAAACATTTTCTACGCATACATACGCATACATACATACATACATACATACATGCATGCATATAAAGAAATATACTAATATATACTTTTCATCCAACCTTTCTTGAAAGAAGCTCTATGTTAAAGAAATATACTAAAAAGAAATATACTAACCTTTTCATCCAGCCTTTCTTGAAGAAAACTCTATGTTGACAAAGAGGTAGACGTTTAGCATTATATTTTAATCTTTGTATGAGAGAGACGAAGATAATATGATTGTCTGTCCTTGTTTAACTGCACGATTGCAGCTTTCTCTATCGCGACATCGCGCAACTAATTTTCTGCTCTGTTTTATTTCTAAATGTCATTTTGCACATACACATGTGAATGAAATATTCCACACTCGAGATCTTTTTATTAGACTTCTAAACTTATTTCTGCAAGTTTACTAATATTCCTTTATGCAATCTTTTGGAGGAAGCGGTCATATTTTGTACGTATAAATTGTGAAACTTTTATACAAGCAAATATTGTTATGACGTGACGCGAGAAGTACAAAAAACACTCGTATTTAAAAATTTTTGTCTTTTTATTACAAATTCAGACCGCTCCTTTCTTTATTATAGTATTAACTTTAATCATGGAAAAGCATTTGTTATTCTATTAACGCAATAAAAACTTCTCGATTGTGGAAAAATATAAGCGGTTCGGTCGGTAAAAGTATATAATGCGCGTTTCTAAGTAACGTTTGGTTTGCCCTACATAACATGAAGAACAATCATTGCATGTGATTTTATAACCTCAAAGCCTAATTTCCTAACACTGACCCCGCTATTATTAGTTTTTACATAATTTTTTATTTTACAAAACCTCTTTGTATACAACATTTGTCGTAAAAGATTTCGGATTTCTTTTAATGTTGCAAATTTTTTGGGGTGTGCGACGATGTAGTTTTTAAGTACTCTTTAAATTTTTTAAGTTTGTCTGTATGTCTGTCTATCTGATCGCAAACTACTACACATTTATGGACTAATTTTTGTGAAACAGGTACTAAAATTTTTTTATCTTTTATAATTATTTAAAAAATTTTTTTATTTAGACCGATTTTCGTGAAACATGTACCAAAATGTTTTTTTATTTTTTATTATTAATTTTTATTTTTTGCTGATGTTCCCACCGCTGAATATCGCGCCGATTGTTATTAAATAACTCCCTTAACGATGATCTCTCTGAGACCGATTTCGAGAAAATCGGTGAATATATGTATGAATGCGTAGAAAAATTCGCATAAATATGCGATTGCGTGGGTAGGTGCGTAGATTTAAAAATTTTAAAAATTTTAATACCAATTTTGAAAACATCGATCAATAAAGTGAATACGTGGATAGGTGAAAACTTGAGAAAAAACCACATTGTCACATTCTCTGAAAAATTTGCAAAATTTTGGTACAAATTTCAAAAAAATTAGTCCATAAATATGCGATTGCGTGGGTGGGTGCATAGGTGGATGCGTGAATAGGGGTGTAAAAATTAAAAAACCATATCATCACCATCTTTGAAAAATTTAGAAAATTTTACTATTAATTTCTAAAACATTAATCAATAAATTTGTGAATGCATGGGTAGGTAGAAACTTAAGAAAAATCACGTTGTCACACTACGTGAAAAATTTGCAAAATTTTGGTACCAATTTCGAAAAAATCAGTCCATAAATATGCGATTGCATGAGTGGGTGTGTAGATGATGCATGGGTGGATGCGTGAGTAGGAGTGTAAAAATTAAAAAACCATATTATCACCATTATTGAAAAATTTAGAAAAGGAGGATGTTAAAAAAAGTCGATTTCCCGACTATCGATGGAACCTAAAATTCGAGTTCCATGGGTATTTATGAACCATATAAGATGTAAAAATGATGGTCTTTTTTCCTAGAGACCTGAGGAAAATATTGAAAATCTATCAAAACTATTGAAAATAGCGTCATTCGATCGATCTGAAGACAACTATAAAATTGATGACATAGATGAATTTTCAATTAAACCGAGTTCTGGTTAAGGACTTCTTAAATAGTTTTCCAGATCAATAATGTTTTAATATCGGGATCGTAAAATTCAAGATTGCGGATCCAATATGGAAGATCAGTATTGAGAGAAACTAGATTCGAGGATATAGTTACTTCCGAATAAAAGATCTGATTCCACATTTAAATACATTATGTTTTTTAGTTTCTTTATTTAAATATTTTTGTTTCATTGTTGAATAAAATTCTTTAGTTCTAACATAGAAAATATGAGAACTATTAATATTCTCTATGTTAAAACTAAAGAATTCTATTCAACAATGAAACGTAATTGTGAGCAATCAATTGAAAAACAAAAATATTTAACAAACAAAAAATTTAACAAACAAATAAACAAACTAAAAAAATAATGTATTTAAATGTGGAATCAGATCTTTTATTTGGAAGTAACTACATCCTGGCATCTAATTTCTCTCAATATTGATCCACCATATTGGATCCGCAATTTTGAATTTTGCAATTCCAATATTAAAATATTATTGATCTCAAAAACTATTTGATAAGTGTTTAACCAGAACTTGGTTTGATTGAAAATTTATCCATGTCA